GTGGACAGGACAGGATCAGGGGAGGAGTTGAAATGGAGCAATAGTTATTAAGTGAGTAAACTAGTTAAAAATGAGTTTGAAAGATAATTTCAAATAGTGGAAAGTGCTACACAATAAATATGTTACGTCAGTGCTCTCAAGTCAAAGACCCCAGCAACACACTATAGTTCAGAAAGTTGGGTTTATTCCTCATTTCAGCAAAGAAAACACACAGCATGGGGACTGCAGTGTGTGTCAGTAGGAGGGTTTTAAGAAGAACCAATTATAGGTTTGGCGCCCTGGTTGGGTGATTTGGGAGAGGGTCTAAGGAAGCAGGAGTCCGCCCTAGATTAGAAGCGATCAGAAAGCACCGGCGATTCTGTGGCTGTCTGTTTTAATTGCCTCCTGTTCGCCCTGTCGGTGAGCTACAGATTCCCACCCTAGGGTTATGGGATGATTGAGTGCCCTATATTGGACAGATGAGATTGACAGATATTCATTAATTACGCTCACAGCTGGGGGGAGGAGGACATCACACGCCACATGGGGGGTGGCACTTGGGAACCGAGTGAACCCCCAGGGGCTGTGGGAGACAGGCTTTGAGGTACCAAGAGGGTGGGGTGCCTGCCCCCTGGTTCCCTCAGGAAGATGTGATGGGTTTCTTTGAGTCGTGCCACAGGCTAGCCGGAAAGTGAAACCTGTTCCTCAGGGACAAGGAGCTGTATCTGATCCATTTGATAAGGAGGGGTGTTTATCTGTGGGAGCAGAGTGGGGAGGAGAACCGTGGTAAGGCCATTTGAGGCCCTCCCCGTTTCCCCCAGATATCAAAGCAGCACACACTGTTGGGCCCTAATTTCAGGTCTTACACCACAGTATCTTAACGAATCTTATCTACAGGGAGTGGAGATTAGAGCAAGGATAAGGTTATAACTGGTACAGAAGTAGCCGTCACTCATTTTAGCCAAGAGAGGAGGGGATGTTTAGTATTTTTGCACTCTGACCTTGCCTTTGTCTGTGCTCAGGCAGAATTATGCAGTGGCCTTGCTCTTTCTCATTTTATCATGGTCACAAAAGTAACCTTGTAAAGGGCTGGTATAATGTCTGATAGGAGAATCACATAACCCAGCTCTGAGCGCAAGGTCAGCTTCTGATGGCTCTTTTTTTCTTTTTCGTTTGGAAGGAACTGATGGTAGTTGGAGACTAAAATAGATGGGTTGATCAGAGAAAAAGTTTTCTGAAGGAGGGACCTCAATTCTTGGCCTTTACTACTGCGAAGAAGCCATCCACATAGAGAAGGACTGAGGGGGACGGGGACAAGGGAGGAAGAGGGGCGGCTTGTGCAGAGTCCCGTCAGAGGGAAACAGCAAGTGTGAAGAAAGAAGCGCCTTATTACACCCGAGGGCTGTGTTTAAAAACCATCAGGAGTGTGGCTCTTTGTGGCAGTGACCCTCGGGGTCTGGAGGAAGGGGAGGACCGGAATCTCGAAACAGAAGGAGTAAAATCCTGGGAAGCCTCCAGGGGATCATGGTGTGAGAGTCCTGCAGGACGGATTGTCCCTCATGCCTCCGCGGCCCTCTCACAGGTTTAGTTCTATTTTATAGGCTTCTTGTGGAAAGGCCAGTACTAATTGGTATTTTAATATGGCCCTATGTATTATACGGCACAACTGCTTGTCCAGAAAGGTTTTACCACCATCCATGGAGGTAGGTGGGGTTGTTAGCCAGTGAATGGCCTCTCGGTGGCAGAAGATCCGTTATCCTAGATGGAATTTTCTTTGCTCTCTTGAAGCTGGATAGACTGTAGTGATTTTTTGCAGACCCTCTAACATGCGGCATCTTGGAGGTAGGTCCCCATTTCCATTTTGTCGTGCAGGAAAACTAGTACATGGTTTCATCATTCCATCCGCCTATGGGCATCCAGTTGCTGTATTTGAATGCTAGTTGGTTTGAAGACACCATTGTCACCAGTTGGTAATTTAGCATACTAACACAAGAAAATATTTACTATGACAAACACCCCAGACAGCAGAGAACAATGCTTATAAGCATGGACTCCGGAGCCAGACTGCCTGGGTCCAAATTACAGCTCTACCACTTTCTAGTTATGTCACCGTGGACAAGTTACGTAGCGTGTGTGCCTCAGTTTCCTTATCTGTAAAGTGGGGATGATAGTGGTACCCACCTTGAAAGTTTGTCGAGATTAAAATAGATATTTAGTTTTCAGACCTGGCTCATGATAAGCACTATGTAAGTGCTACCTTTGTAATAATGATGGTAACAATGTATCAGAAAAGAAAAAAACAGTAGTTAACACCATATTCTTCTAGTCAATGAGTTAACAATGGACTACCCAATATATGTAAACATGCACAGATCTTACTGAGGAAAGCTTTCTCTTGTTTACGGTTATAGGCGGGCCCCTGCACTTGCTACATGGCATCGTCTAGTGGACCAGTCTTTGGCAATATCTGAAAGCATGCGTGTAATTTAAAATATTTCTTCCTCTCTGCCGGGTATGTCTGATACATCCAGGCATACTGCGGGTAAGGGTTTTAATACATTGTATGACTGAATTTTTGGACTTAGCTGAAGAATGTGGTAGGAGCCTCAGATCTTTCATTGAGGTGACGGTATTTAGTGTTACTGAAATAAGTGTGATAATAACTTGATCCTGCAGAGCTTGACACGAAGAAAACACCTGCATGGTGTTAATAAGATACATGAGTTTCAGACAACAGAAAAGCAAAGAAAATTACCAGCATGCCTGCCTTAATAAAGTACCCACAGAATTCTCTATTCATTTCCCTATATTCAGAAGTTTATTTGAATTACTATGAAATGTTAACAGAAAATCACTAGATTATGAGCTTATGGTAGGTGAGGGGTTTTAAAATATTGCTACATCTTTATATTTACTGGCAGATTTATTGAGGCAAAACAAAAGAAAAAAAATATTTGTTTTGTGCTGGATATTCATTACCTCAAACTAAAATGATCTGAGAACGGATTTCAAGTATGTTAGTAGGCCTGGATGTATCAGACATTAATTTAAACACAGTGCATCCCTTTTCTCTCAAGGTTCAGAACCTCAATAGAAAAATGTTGAAAATTTCTATCACTTGCCATTTTTTTTTGTCCAAGAGAAATCTTTAAAAAATCAAAAACATTATTACAAGCAAAACTGAAAACTGTGGCTTCTTTTTCCTGTGAGCATAAGAGCGTTTAACCCCAAAATGTTGAGAGTGTCAATAAGTAAAAAAAGATTGTTCTTATTTTGATGTCAGATTTATGCAAGATTAGTAAAACCCCAATATCATATGCACTGAATTTAGAGAATACGTTCTGTAGCCAGTGTTTTGTTTGCTTCTGTAGCACAAAGAACAAACTCTCTTATTAGACTGCCTTCTTTTTATAGCAGACATGTTTATGCATAATTTAGGAAGCAAGTTTTGACTTGTTTCCTATCTAGTTTCATTTTGGGTTTTTTTACTTAAAAAAAAAATCTTAGCATCTACACGAAAAGGCAGTTAGTATTCATGTATAGTCAACGTTTAGTTAACTGTAATGAGCTGGTCCAAAGAAAATATGGATAACTGAAATCTACGGTACTATAAAAATTGAATTTGATCCTCTATACTTAAACTTACATTGCATCCAACTATTGGCCAGACCCGCCAGCCAATACACCAACTAAAGATATTTGAATTTTCATTCTTTTCACCTTTATAAACATCTATATAAATTAAAGCACATGAATAACACTTTACAGTTTATAAACACTTTCACATATATTATCACTTTTGATCTTCCCAGTATCCTTGTGGGGAAGGGATGTTGTTGGCTTATAGAAGATTTTATTATTATCTTCACTCTATAGATGAATGAATTGGGGATCAAGCATCATGCTCTTAAGTAAATGCAGGTACTTGGCCCTAGAAAACTCAAGTCTGCTGTTCCAGCTGTCCTAACCTTACTGCATTGCACAGAGAAAGCCTCCAGCCTTCTGTCCACAATCACCCCCCAGTCAGCCTCATCTCCCTAGTGCGCCACGTCCATGTCATTCTCGTCACTGTTTCTGACCTTTGAATCTTTGTCTTCACTTCCCTCACTCCTTCATGCACCCCTGCTTGGTATGTCCTTGTTTTTCTGGAACATCCAAATCCTATGCTTCGTTCAAGGTCCAGCAAAAGTTCCCTCTCCTCCAGGAAGTCTCCCTGCTCCCACTGTTCTTGCTTAACTAATACAGCATTTGCAAGAATTGGTTCTTACCTTCTTAAGTGTTTCATTTATGTCTGAATTCTCCTACTAGACAGCAAGCTCCTGAGAACCAAGTCTTTACTTCCTTGAAACTCGTAGCCCTCTAGCACTGGGTGTATTTGTAGTAAATTCATGATAAATATTTGGATATTATTTAATCTGGCCAGTGGAGCCATTGCCGAACCGTAGATTTTCTTACTGTATTTATATTCCAACCATGTGGCTTGTAATTTAGCCTGTGTAATCACTTTCTATGGTTGAGTTTAGCGTGGGCTTTTCAATATGTTTTAATATACCAGTTGACCTGAGCACTGATTTCCATTGGTGGTAAAGCCCAGGCTTGTGGCCTTTGGAATCCAATCAGCTACACGTGCCTGATGGCTGCCTGAATGGAGCCGCCGCTCGGCCCATATGTCAGCGTTGAGAACAGGAACAGGAAACGGGCAGTGAGTGCCTTTCTGTAGAACTCCATTAGCATCGCCCATGCTGCTGGTTGTAATTTCTCAGCAGATCAGGGACATCTGTCAATGGTAGTTCCTGTGGTACAGTGTGTGAAAATGCCTCCTGTTATTCATTATACATAACGCTGATCGAGCAAATTGTCATTCCAAATTTAAGTTTTAAGAAAGAAATCTCCATGTGGAGATGACGCACTTGAGTGTCACTATGTTAAAAAACAAGAAGATAGTACTGTGGGACAATTCAGTTCTTCAGGAATATAGGTATTCTGTTTAAACAAATAACTGCTTCTGTTCATATTTTAAGGTGAATTTGGAGAAGTCTGCAGTGGGCGTCTGAAGACACCAGGGAAAAGAGAGATCCCAGTTGCCATCAAAACTTTGAAAGGTGGCCACATGGACCGGCAAAGAAGAGATTTTCTAAGAGAAGCTAGTATCATGGGTCAGTTTGACCACCCAAATATCATTCGCCTAGAGGGTGTTGTCACAAAAAGTAAGTCACTGATTCTCTTCTGTACTTATTTTACGTATCTATCTCAGTTCCTGGAAAAAAAGCTTAATAGCAATAGCACAGCCACCCTGGGGATAACTTCGTCCCATGTCATCTTCTGATATCACCCTCAGAGTCCTGATATTAGGCTATGACATTATCAGAGTTTGCATTGGTCACCAAACAGCTTTGAAATGGTATTTATTGCCTGTAAATCATTTGCTAATTTAACTTGAAGTAATGAATCAAGAGTAAAGGTTATCTATTTTTTTCTCATTTCCATTAGCTATTCACTCCTAAATGTCAATGTTAATTGAAGAAATAATTTAAATATTTTGGATCGTTAAAGTAAAATACTTCCGTTTGGAACTAAATTTCATATACAAATATAGAATGCTTTATCTGAAGTAAAACTTGTAAACAAAAAGTTCTGTGTGGAACCCATCTACATAAATGCCATTAGAACTAAATTATTTTAATTTGTATAAAATGAAGAAAAGAATTACAGTTTTTGAAATAAAAATCCTGTTTTTAGAGAAATAGTGAGATCAAAGCCATTTCTTTGAAAAGTTTCTTAGAAGTCCAAAATTAATCCTATACTCTAAGAAGTAGATTGCTATATATTCCCTTTTATTAGAATAATGATAGGGCATAAAGCTTAACTGTATTTCTCCTTACTTTATTCTCTAATGAATTATAATGTGTAAAATCCAATTCAAAATGGCATTAAAAACCTCAAAAAATAATGTAAATCTTTGAGAAGTAGTTTTCTTTCATAAAACTTAAATTTCTTTTAAAACCATTTAAATGAAATTGAAATTTTATGTCATATTTGGAAACGGGAAAGTATAAAAGCTTACAAAACACATGCTGGAAATTCCTAAGTCCTTCCCACGAGGCCTGGGCCAACATACTGCCCAAGAGGAGCAGAAAATTACTGATGCTCAATATAGTTTGGAGGACACAAAAGAGTGTTTTTGATGACAGCTGTTGCTTTAGTGGCCTTAATGGGGCCTCCAGCGTTCATGCCCTCGTGTTATTCTCTCCCTCGCTGACTCTGGGCTTGTCCATGTGACCAGCCTTGGCCAATGGGACATTAGCAAGTGTGATGCGAGTGGAGGCGTCTTACATGTTTGCACATTCGAGCTTGTCCTCTTGCAACACTCCTTCCTGTCCCTGGCCTCTGGTGCTGAGTGAAGCCAATCCATGTGGTGAGGCCACACGCAGCACTGCGAAGAAGAGAACTGAGGCTCTCCTGTCCGTCTCTCTATCTGAGCTCCCAGTAGACAATCAGCTTTGAATGCCAGCCTTGCGATGAACCGTCTCAGACATTAGGACCCAACTCCCAACCAGATGGCTGCAGCTGCAGTCAACGTCTTGTGGAGTGAAGGAACTGTCCAGCTCCATCCTGTCAACTTATAAAATACTAAGAGTAGTATGAAACGGTTGTTGTGTAAGTCACTAAGTTTGGGATAGTTTATTACACAGCAGTAGATAAACAAACAAGATGGACCCCAGTTAGAATTCTGCTCCTGCCGGTTAAGACTTGTGCAGCTTTGGGTAAATTGTTTAACATCTCTATCCTTTATTTCCATGTCTGTAAAATGGCGCCAAAACAATTCCTACTCAGTTAGGATTACATTTCTAAATGTATAAAGCATTTAGCACAGTGTGTAGCTCATAGAAAGTCCCATTAAGTGGTAGCCATCATTGGTGCTGTGTGCCAGGCAGTTTACCATTTCACTCCACAGCAACTCTTACCAGTATCATTGTCCACTGACACTCAGGTTAATTCACCTGCATGGGTCCTCTAACCCGTAGTAAGTGGCATGACTGATGTTCAAACTGAGTCTGTCTGACTCTAAAACCCATGGCTGGTTGGTTTGCTTGCCTTTGCTATTTCACAGTGAATACATCATAGTTTAGTTTACACTTTAATTATTTTATCTGAATTAAATAACAGTAAATAAACTGCAATCTGATTGCAATAACATAATATTACTTTTTAAAATAAGGAAAATATTTAGGAGAGTGAAATAAATACCCTAAAATATAAAATTTGGAAAGATCCAGCTATGCCACAATACCTAGTAAAGATTATAATCTGAAAGAGAGAGAGAAGAAATAACATGGTAATTATTTCTTTCATAGTTTCTGACTTCCTTGTCACTAATTTAGCATGAACATTTCAAGTTATTCCTTCTGTGCTATATCTCCCTGGAAGGAAAATGATAATTTTAAAGTTGGCTTATGAATCTTTGCAAAGCATTTTAAATAACAATTTAAGTATGTAAGTCCTCTTATGTGTATTTATGCATGAAACATATGGAAATAAGCGTCCAACAGTAAATACAAGGATTGAAAAGGATCAGATCTTTATTTTCTCCCTTTGATAAATCACATTATGTGTGTTTTTCACTTATTCCTATGTGTTTTATTCACATACTATCACCTATATATCAAATATATATAAATTTATATATATGTAAATTAAATTATATGAAAAGGGAAAGAACTTATAGCCCTATGAAGTAATAGGGATTTTTTATCCTAAATCAATTGAATAGGTTTAATAAGATAGTCTGTGGCACTTGTCTGCCTATTTGAAATACTCAGCATATTTCACATAAACATTTAACCAACAAACACAGTGAATCCTTAATATCTCTAGCAATCTTGTCTAAAAATGAGACCAGAGACCTTTATGTAGCCAAATTTGTATGATCCCTAAGTCAAGGTCCTTGTTCTATTTCAAGAAAAAGGGGGGGGGGGGGGAGAAAAGAAGAGAAAGGATAGATTCCATATGCTTTTGAGTAGCAATAGCCGTTACAGTGTTAACTTGGAAGAGAGTCCCATAGCAGCTGTCGTGGTGCTGCTGTGTGGGTGATGGAGATGCAGAAAGGAATAATTCCCGCAAAGATAAGTGGACGTATTTACACTGCTATCTTCTTGCTCAAGTGCTATGGGATTTTTAGGAGAAAGGCAATAAATAAGTGAATGCCTCATTCCCATAAATACATGGTAATTGTTCCAAGATTGCCCTTAAGTAGCTAAGAGATAGCCAGCAATTAATGCTCCCTAAGGACTACCCTATTGCATAAAAGATAATGCTGACAAAGATGAAGATGCAGTATGGGTTTATCTGGTCATGTTAGTAGAGCATCCTGGGTTCTGAGAAATAAATGCACAGACTCTCTGTTGAAGGTAATGCAGGACTATAGATCAAAATCTTCGTCAGATCCTTTTATAAGTTCTTATTATGCATCCTTTTTAATCTATTATATAGGTTTTATCTCTGAGAGAACACTTTTGCTCTTTCATATTTGGGCACATAACTACTTTTATTTTAAACTTGAAAGTTAAATGATTAAAAGCTGTGTTATGTAAAAAGTGTGTCTGATAAAAGTTGACCCAATTTATTTGGTACACATCACAATTTCATTAACCTGTTAAGATACACCTGATATAAAAAGCTCAACCATATGCTTAGCACAAAGTTTTTCTCCAAGAAGCAAACAGAAGCCATCACTTAGAAGACAAACTGGTATCCATTAGTAGCTCGGGCAGTAGCAATGTGTAACAGGTAATGTATCCACCCAGTGTCGTTAGCTGTGTAACCAAAAGAGAAAGTGCTACCCTTCTATAGAAAGATGAGAATTGTGGTTAAATAATGAGGAAATACAGGGCAGTAACCACACTCCAGTTTCAATGCCTGGTGATGGAAGAACCAAAAGGAGAAATAATGAGGTGCCTCTCTCTCAGCTCAGTAGGTAAGAGCTGAATTTAGATACACTGACCATATCTCAAGTAAATCCTAAGTCCAGTAAGGAGTAACAGAGCCAATCAGGATAACAAACAAATCCCCAAACATAACTTCATTTCCTCACAGGACATTCCTAAAGTCCCTGTGGGACAGTCTAGAAGCTGTACAAGAAAGTGCCCGGCCTTCTCAAACCCTCTTTAAATACTGCAGGACATTGTGGATTCCTTCCAGATGGTTTTGATGGGTCCACGTGGGATCTAAATTGGAGGAGAGTAGCTTCAAGGCAGTGAAATATGTCATACAGTAAATGCACAGGAACTGCCTCTCTGCCCCTAAGTAGCCTTCTACTTGTCCAGTGATGCATCCCCCAAGATTGCCACCATCACTGTTGCCACCAGTATGACGTCACCTCTCCACCTGGCTGTGTATCTTGCCACCAGCCACAGGGTCTTGGGCAAGTCACTCAACATCTTTAGGCCTTGGTTTTTCCATCTGCACAACAGATTGAAAAGTGCAGATTGGACTAGGAAACAGTGAAGTCACATCTCATCCCAATATTTTTGTATTTTATTGTTTTGCCAAAAGAAAGCAGTGATGAGATGGTGGCGAGGAAAATGTGTGCCAGTGCTAACTTAGCACCCCACCTCTGACTTTATTTTTAGTTCAGGTTCATATCGGTGATCCAAGAAGGTGGGTTTGGGGAGACACAAAAATGCCTTTGCTAAAGTTCATCTTACAGTCTGTAAAGTAGGAAAGGATAGTTAAAATTGTCCTCAAACACAATCAGGGTTTGGGTCCATGGACTACCTGTGGTAGGTGTGAAATATTCTGCAAAACTGAGCCTAATAAAATTAGATGATTGTTTTTTCTGGAATTCAGCTATTCTGCTAGCTTAAGTAGGCTAAGAGTTTTGTTTTGTTTTGTTTTCCAAGAAACAATTACTGAGCACCACCAGGTGTCAGACACTGTTGCTGACCAAAAGCGAGAGCCAGAGAAGAAGTGCTCAGTGCTCTTGAGAAGCTCCTTTGTGGCTCCAGTCCACTGGGAGCAGCAAACATGGAGGCTGCGGTTTCCCAGTGTGGTGTGCCGGCTGATGGTTTGGATACAGCTACTCATTCATCCATTTGTTTAGTGAATATTTATGGCGTGCCCACTCTTCTAGTCACTGGTGATATCATAGTGAAAAAGGCAGAACTTCTGCCTACTGGAAGAAACAGAAAGAAATGTAAACATAGGAATA